CTCATCCTCCTCACTTTATCTCATTTTCCCTAGCGAGGGGTGAAGACGAGAACCAACGGTACAGGTGGTGGAAGCAATGGATCCACATCGACGTTGGTGATCTTTGTTGAACGGATGTGCGATTGCGAGCAGGGGCTACGAGAATTAGGAAATTGTGAAAGACTAGCAATATGTAGGGTAAATTATTCTTTTTACAATATAGTTGTGACCTTTTGATATAAAGAGTAATTCGCAATGCTCTTTAATGTTAAACTTCGACCTCTCGGTAAGCACACATCAATCACTCAGTGCAACTCTTTGATATATTTGTTCTGATTCGTAGCGTCTATTTTCCTGTCGCATAAAGTAAAAAGCGCCCGACTAAAATACCCGTAACTTTAGACAACCACTTTTTCTGTTGACGTAATAAAAATAAGAGTATTTCTCAATTAACATTGAAATAATGGTGGTAATAGGTGGAGTTGGGTTGCATTGCAAAGTTGGAGCCTAGTCACGTAGGGCAACATGGCGGTGTTAATGCCTCACAAAGGATGGTTTCGGTGCACGGTGATCTCAACGGTGATGGTGGGACTTGTTGATTCAAGGTTTGCAAATTGCAACTTCCCCCCACTAGGCTCGGCACTAAAGATGGAGCTAACTAGCCCTTGATGTGTTGGGCTAGTTCTTTGGCGGGACCGACCTAGTTCGATCGCCGTGCTACAATGGTCATTGTGTTGCCGATTATTTACCGTGAAGTCGCAATTGCTAGTATGGAACAATGGTGTAGTGGTTGAAATTCTAGTCGTGTGTGTCGAGTCGGCTAGGTTCTCTAGACATGTTGTTATCCTAGTTTTCAGTTAGGAAAGAGCGTTCACATCGCAAAGACTGAGAAAAAAATTAAAAGATACAAAGGCTAAGAGCCACACTCTCGGGTCCAGAACATGGCCCAACCACCGCAATGCACGGCTAATGGGGAGAGCCGGAGGACAGAAACCACCACAAAACAAAGTGTAAGCCGGCTTTTCCCTATTTCTTTGACAGGTTTTCCTCTCGTCTTGCCGGCTAGAACCTTAGCCACCACCGGTAGAGGCCAATCTTCCAG